GCCCGCATGCGTCCCGCACACCCATTTCGGCACACCCCTCACACGTTTCGTGGCCCCATAGGGAGCTCCACCGAAGGCCCCATGGCTGCCGTCCGCAAGCGTCCCGCACACCCATTTCGGCACACACCTCAGTTTGTGCAGACCCCACCGAACACCCATACCATCCTCCACCAAACCACCAGCTTGTGTAGACTACGGGGCCCCAGCAGCATGTGCAGACCCCACTGTGCGCCCATACCGTCCACCTCCACTCCATCAGCTTGTGCAGACTACGTGCTCCCAGCAGCATGTGCACACTTCACCAGGCGCCCATACCGTACACCTCCATTCCACCAGCTTGTGTAGACTACGTGCTTTCAGCAGCATGTGCAGACCCCACCGAACACCCATACCATCCTCCACCAAACCACCAGCTTGTGTAGACTACGGGGCCCCAGCAGCATGTGCAGACCCCACTGTGCGCCCATACCGTCCACCTCCACTCCATCAGCTTGTGCAGACTACGTGCTCCCAGCAGCATGTGCACACTTCACCAGGCGCCCATACCGTACACCTCCATTCCACCAGCTTGTGTAGACTACGTGCTTCCAGCAGCATGTGCAGACCCCACCGAACACCCATACCATCTACCTCCACACCACCAGCTTGAGTAGACTACGGGACCCCAGCAGCATGTGCAGACCCCACTGTGCGCCCACTCCGTCCACCTCCACACCACCAGCTTGTGCAGACTGCGTCGTCCCAGCAGCAGGTGCAGACGTCACCGAGCGTCCATACCGTCCACCTTCACACCACCAGCTTGTGCAGACTACGTGCTTCCAGCAGCATGTGCAGACCCCACCGAACACCCATACCATCCTCCACCAAACCACCAGCTTGTGTAGACTACGGGACCCCAGCAGCATGTGCAGACCCCACTGTGCGCCCATACCGTCCACCTTCACACAACCAGCTTGTGCAGACTACGTCGTACCAGCAGCATGTGCAGACCACCCCGGGGGGCCCATCCCTGCCACTGGCCGCACCTCCATTGCCATCCCATATCTTTCACTCACGTCCATCACCATCACCATGGATGTCATCATATACATATACGAGCTACAATCGTCCCGCGTCGACGTTCGCGCGCAGGGTCTCCGCGTAAGATCGCTCGTAAGGCGTTCGGTTTTCCACGCGGCGTGTGTCCCGCGCAGGTCACCGCGTCAGGTCGCTGTGTCATCGTGCGCGAGGCCCGCTTGTGCTCGTCGCTCGTGTGGCGGAAAGAGGGCAACCCTAGTGAAGCGGTGATCGAGGCGCTTCCAGAGGAGGGACGCCTGTTTTCGTGCACTGCCCCAGTTCGTGTCCCTTATCCTGCTGCATGATATCTTTACAGACGGGCGCGCTCCAAACCGCTACGGTCCTCCTCCTCCTTCTCTGCCTCCTCCTCCTCCTCATCCTCCTCCTCCTCTTCCTCGTCCTTCTCCCCATCCTCTTCCTCCTCCTCCTCCTCCTGTTGCTCCTCCTCCTCCTCCTCCTCCCGTTGCTCCTCCTCCTCCTCCTCCTCCTCCTCCTCCTCCTCCCGTTGCTCCTCCTCCTCCTCCTCCTCCTCCTCTTCCTCCTCCTCCTCCTCGTGGTTGAGGTGCGGAGCGCCCTGAGCAGGTGGCGGGAGGAGGGCGACCCGAGCCTCATCGACCTCGAGGCGCTTCCAGGCTGCCAGCGCCGTCGGCGACGCTGGCGGCGTCGGCGTCGGCGTCGGCGACGGCGGGCGCTCGGCGTCACCCGGACATGCTCCTACTGTGTGTGTGTGTGTGTGTGTGTGTGTGCGTCTCCCCTGAGAGGGCGACGCGCGGGCTCAGGAGTCGTGTAGTACGTGCTCCGTGGCGGGCGCCTTCTGGCCATGCCGCTGGGGCAACGATATGCAGCGGGGGCCCATGCCAAGAGAAACCCTGCTTGCCTCCATGGTGCCCAGGGTTTCTCGGGTTTCGATGTTTTTGCCATGGAGAGCGTGACGCTCCCACACCAAACATCGATGGACGTCCCGGGGTCTCAGGGTTGGGTTTCTCGTGGAAGGTTTCTTGTGGACTGGTCTCCACTGTACTATAAACTTGTTGTGCTATTGGATGTTGTCGGGCGCACGCCTCCAAGGAAGTCCATCCCTCTGCGTCTCGGGCGGCTCCGCCCTGCCTCGCCCGGCTTCGCCACGGCGGCCTCGCCGCGCGGCGACGCCCAGCGTGGCGCGTTCCCAGAGCCAGCGACGGGCGACCAGGGGTCCCTCGAGGAGCTCGATGTGCTGGCCTCGACCATGTTCAGATCGAGATCGGCTGCGTGGCCGCCGAACCAAACCGCCATCCGGCTCCTCAGTGCAAAGCCTTCGGGGGCGTTCCAGAAAAGGGCCTCGTCTTCGGGGGACCGAGGCGTCGACTTCTTTTCTTTTTGTGGAAGCTGGCCGGAGGTCAGCAGAAGCCCGCGGAAGCAACACGACGGCGTTGCGGCTGGTGGAAGCTGGCGGAAGGTCGGCGGCGGACGCCAGCCCCCGCGAGATGCGTGTT